TCTCTATGCAAATATATCTGTGGATATCTGAGGGGGATTCTGTCTGTGTGTACATACGTGTGTGTGTGTGCATGTGCCGAGTTTCAAATGCATGTGAGTATGGTGACATATGTAAGTGACTTTGAGTATTATTTTGTAACAGTTTTTGTATGTGATGATATAGGTATGTCACTGTGTACATGCCTGTGTCACAGAAGTTTTTCTGATTATGTGAGAGGATTTAAATAATTAGGTAGATTGTATATATGAGTCTCTGTGTGAGTAGTTTTGCATATGTGTATCTATCTGTCAGGATTTGAGTGTTCATCTGTGTGTGTATGTATGTATGTGTGTTAGGGGAGTTACAATTGTGGGTTTATGAGCCATTGCACATGTGTGTGTGTCTGAGTGTATCCGTGTATATGAGCAGTTCTCAGCCCCCTCATACCTAACACCCTATTTTACATACCATATTTTGTAACACCCATTTACTATATAAACATGAAGTTCTTAAATAATATAATCTCTGCACATATAATTTCAAAAGAAAATCCATACAGTATTTCATATGATATGCATATTTTCTGAGTTCTAATACAAATGAATTTATTAAAGGAAAGTGATTTATAAGGTAGTAATTTGTACTTTGATATGTGAAGGTTTGAACATGAAACTCCTCAGGAAATTCAATAAGGTAGTTAGAGGCTTGTAACATCTTACGAGTAAATGTGGATTTGGAAGGGGAAAAACCAAAAACTTGCCCCTTGCTCAAAGTGCAGGAAAATGACAGGCAAAGGCCTAGGGGTGATATTTTCCGAAACAGTCAACAACTCAAAGAAAGTGCTCTCCCAAACAAAGTGCAGTCTCCTCTGGACTTAGTTGACAGCTATTTTCCCGAATAATTCAGGGTATATTAAACTAGGGGGAAATTTGTGAAATAGAGTTCTTAGATTCAAGTTTCAGTTCATTACAAGCCCAAAGTCCTAGGGGATTCGGGACATATGCTGAGTGTGTAGAACCGCCCCACACATCACTGGATGGCCAGCATCCTTGCCCTGGACCCCTAAATGTTAGAAGTACATCCTGCACCCCAGCCTTGTGGCAACCAAAAATGCTCCTGCAGATTTCCAAGGTGTCCCCTAGGGGGCAGTAATGCCTATGTTGAGGACGATGCCCTGGCATTTGGGCAGGTTATACTCTGCCTGTGGACGAACATATACCGTGTGTCCATGTGCGTGTGAGGTGATGTCCCTGTGTGTGAGCCGGTTATTTCCGTAGGTCTCCACAACAGGATCCTATGTGTCTGTGTGAGCGTGTGTGTAGTTGTCTGCATATCTTTCTTAGGGCGTCGGGGCATAGGCAAGTGTGTATGTGTTTGCGTCTGCTCACACTTTTAGCCTAGGATGGGCCCAAGCTGTGGCTGCCAGTCTGCTCAGAACCCTCTCCTCACTTGTAGAGTCGCCCCAGCTTTCTAGGCAACACCAGGATTTTGTTCGTCTGGTGCTATTGTTTTGTGTTGTTTTGTTTCATTTCAGTGTGTGTTTGGTTTGGTTTGCTTTGGTTTGCTTTCCCTGAGACTCTGGGCTACAAATTATCCACCTTCTGGATCTTAGTGTGTTTCTCTGTGTCTCCCTCTCCATCTTTATTTCTGCTTCTCTCTGTCTCTATCTGCCTCTCTCCCAACCTGTCTCTTTATCTCTCTCTTCTCTTTCCTGGCATTATCCCTCGCATATCTCTCTCCCTTTGTCTCTCTCTTTCTCCCTCCCTTCTTCCCTCTCTCCTTTTGTCTCTCTCACTTTCTTCTCTTTCTTTCTCTCTCCTGTATCTCTTTTTCTCTCTCGCTGTCTATACTTTTCCGTCTCTATTTTTCTTCTCTCATGCTCTATGTGTGTCTCTCTCTCTTTTTCCCCCTCACTCTTCTTCCTCCTTTGTCTCTATTTCTGTCTTTTCCTCTTTGTCTGGAAGGCCTGGTCCCCTTTCTCTGTTTATTTTTCCCCTTCTCCCTCCTATGTCTCAGTCTCTTTCTCACAAACCTCTCTCTTCTGTCACTCTCTGTGTGCTTCTCTGATTCTCTTTTATATTCAATCTCTCTCTGTCTCTAATGCTTTCCCCCTGCTTCCCCTCAAGGCTGAGGAGTGTGTGTGTGTGTGTGTGTGTGTGTGTGTGTGTGTGTGTGTACATTTACGCACACCCAGCTGTCAGCTGGTCCACAGTTCTGTGGGAGCTATCAGGCCTTAAGGGGGCTGAAAGGGGACCCACGAACCCCACTTCTCCCAAGCCCCTGCCCTAGCATCTTCTCATGGCCTTTTGGCACTGTGTCTGAGACTTCAGGGTGCCATGAAAAAGCTTGGCCCCAGGTGGCTGTGGCAGGCCATGTTGGAGCAATCTGGGAAAAAATACCAAGGGGTGACTTCCTGGGAGAGAGAAGGTAGAATGGTTCCACTCAGCCCCGTGTCCCTCAACCTCAAGCCCATCCCAGCCCCCAAAGTTCTGAGCTTCTCCAGCTTGCTGCCTTCCCTTTGGAACCTACCATGTTACATCATCACACTCCTTCCCCCCGTGCCCCCGGTCCACACACACCAGAAGCCCTCCTGCCCCCCGCCCCCCGCCACCAAGCTTTGTCTGTGCCCTCCCACTCCTGTACTGCCCAGGCTGCTTTTTCAGCAAATCCTACCTGGATGCCTCCAGGCAGCCCTCCCTGAGCCACCAGCTGTTTTAGTCCCTCAACCAACTGATCTGACAGCCTTTGACTGAGGGCCTACTGTGCTATGCACTGCTCTTCTAGAGGAGAGTGTCTGAGTCTCTAATCCTTGTCCTGTGGAGCTTTCATTCTAATAGGGAGAGGCAGACAATAAACCGAATTTTAAGTAAATTATATAATGCATTAGAAGAGGTAAGTTCTACGAAGAAAAATAAAGCAGGGCAAGGGTCACAGAGTGTTGTTGATTCTCACCTGAATTACTGTAGGAGTCTCTTATGTAGTCTCCCTACTTCGACCTTTGCCCCACCTGGTTTGTGCTCCTCATACCAGCAAGGGGGATCCTTTTCAACCCCAAGTCATATCACACCTCACCTCTGCTCCCTTGGCTCCCATCTCATTCAAAGTAAAAGTCCTCACCATGGCCTCCATGATCTGGCCTCACCACCTTTCTGATCTTACCGCCCACTGCTTTTTGATCACTCACTCTGTTCCAGGAATAGTGGTCTCCTTGCTCTTCCCCAAATACACCACGTGTGATTCCACCTCGGGGCATTTGTGCTAGCTGTTCCCTCTGCCTGGACTTTTCTCTCCAATACCCACATGGCTCACTCTCACCTTCTTTAAGTCTTTGCTTAGATGACACCTCCTCCATGAAGCCTTCCCTGTCCATTTCTTTTTTTTTTTTTTAAGACTTTATTTATTTGTCAGAGAGAGAGGGAGAGAGAGCGAGCACAGGCAGAGGCAGAGGGAGAAGCAGGCTCCCCGCCAAGCAAGGAGCCCGATGCGGGACTCGATCCCAGGACACTGGGACCATGACCTGAGCCGAAGGCAGCTGCCTAACCAACTGAGCCACCCAGGCGTCCCTTCCCTGTCCATTTCATCTAAAAGTAGACCTCCTCCACCCCTGGGACTTCCTAACCCCTTTCCCTCCTTTACTTTTCTTTTTAGGAACTTATCATCATCTGACCTACTATACTCCACCTATATGTCTTCTTTATCAATTAGAATATCAGTTCCGTAGGGGCAGGGATCCTTTTCTATCTGGTTCACAGCTGCGGCCCCAGTGGCTGGCACAAGTAGATGCTCAGTAAATCATTTTTCAATGAATGAATGCACACAAGCACACTCACATCTTTATAGTCACAATACTCCCTGCCCCACTTAAAATAAAAACCCAAGTCCGGGGGGCCTGGGTGGCTCAGTCGTTAAGTGTCTGCCTTTGGCTTAGGTCAGGTCATGATCCTGGGATCAAGCCCTGCATCAGGCTCCCTGCTCAGCAGGAAGCCTGCTTCTCCCTCTCCCACTCCCCCTGCTTGTGTTCCCTCTCTCGCTGTGTCTCACTCTGTCAAATAAATAAAATCTTTAAAAAAACAAACAAACAAACAAACCAAGTCCGTGTCATGGCCCACAGCCCTATAGAATCTGGCTCCAGACCCCTTCCTACTTTAGACCACTGTCTCCCCTGCCTGCCCTTTTCCAACCACACTGGTCTTCCCACTCTTTCTTGAGCATGCTAAGTGCATTCCTGATCATGAATAAGAAAGCTCATTTAATGGCTGGCTACCAGCATTAACAAAAAATCGTGAAATAGAACAGAACTAACGGAGTACATTACAGAGAGGGTCAGTCATGTTTTGTGAAACTTTTGGTTCAGTTATGTGTGCACGTATGTGTATGTGTACGAGGTTGTAATGTAAAATGTTTGTCTTACTATGGGTAGCAGTCAAAAAAGTTTGAAGAACATAACCTTAGGGCTTTGCAAAGGGGGAGAAGAGCTGCACCAACACCGCTGCCCCACAGACCCACCAATGGAGGAAACAGGTAAAGGAGAATGTCCAGAGAGGTGAAACAGCCTCCTCACCCAGCAAGGAGGGGGTAGGAGCAGGAGCAGGAGTGGGCCTGGGGCAGAACCTGACACCAGCCAGGGAATAAGTGTGGAGGCCATGTAGACCCACTAACGCTGCTCTTTCTCTTTCTTCCTCACCTTTCCATCTGTATCTCGCTGTCTCTTTTTCTTGTGTTTCTTTCTATCTTCCCCCCCCCCTCTCTCTCTCTCTCTCTCTCTCTCTCTCTCTCTCTCTCTCCCCTTCCTTTCCCTCTCTCCCTGTCTTTCTGATTCTGTTTCTTCTTATCTCTGCTCATTCTCATCCCCACATTTGCCTCTCAATTTGTATCCATTTATATCTTTGTCACCATTTTCATTTCGTTCTATCCTTTCTTACTCTCTCTCTGTGCCTCTGTCTGGGTTTTTCTCTCTGGCTCTCTCCTGCCATCATCTCTCTCTCTATGTCTGCATCTCCGCCATTATCCCCATTTGCAGGTGCAGCCCAGCAGGACAACTGATGGAGTCCCCCAGGACCCATCGAATACCAGACTGGCTGATCCCATAGGGTTGGGAGCAGCCCCTGCCCCTCAGTATGGCCAACACAACTGGAGAGCCCGAAGAGGTGAGCGGCGCACTGTCCCCGCCATCAGCATCAGCTTATGTGAAGCTGGTGCTGCTGGGACTGATCATGTGTGTAAGCCTGGCGGGCAACGCCATCTTGTCACTGCTGGTGCTCAAGGAGCGTGCCCTGCACAAGGCTCCTTATTACTTTCTGCTGGACCTGTGCCTGGCCGACGGCATACGCTCTGCCGTCTGCTTCCCCTTTGTGCTGGCTTCTGTGCGCCACGGCTCCTCATGGACCTTCAGTGCACTCAGCTGCAAAATTGTGGCCTTTATGGCCGTGCTCTTTTGCTTCCATGCGGCCTTCATGCTGTTCTGCATCAGCGTCACCCGCTACATGGCCATCGCCCACCACCGCTTCTACGCCAAGCGCATGACACTCTGGACATGCGCAGCTGTCATCTGCATGGCCTGGACCCTATCTGTGGCCATGGCCTTCCCACCCGTCTTTGATGTGGGCACCTACAAATTTATCCGTGAGGAGGACCAGTGCATCTTTGAGCATCGCTACTTCAAGGCCAATGACACGCTGGGCTTCATGCTTATGTTGGCTGTGCTCATGGCAGCTACACATGCTGTCTATGGCAAGCTGCTCCTCTTCGAGTATCGTCACCGCAAGATGAAGCCAGTGCAGATGGTGCCAGCCATCAGCCAGAACTGGACATTCCATGGCCCTGGGGCCACCGGCCAGGCTGCTGCCAACTGGATCGCTGGCTTTGGCCGTGGGCCCATGCCACCAACCCTGCTGGGTATTAGGCAGAATGGGCACGCAGCCAGCCGGCGGCTACTGGGCATGGACGAGGTCAAGGGTGAAAAGCAGCTGGGCCGTATGTTCTACGCGATCACACTGCTCTTCTTGCTCCTCTGGTCACCCTACATTGTGGCCTGCTACTGGCGAGTGTTTGTGAAAGCCTGTGCCGTGCCCCACCGTTACCTGGCCACTGCTGTTTGGATGAGCTTCGCCCAGGCTGCTGTCAACCCGATCGTCTGCTTCCTGCTCAACAAGGACCTCAAGAAGTGCCTGAGGACTCACGCCCCCTGCTGGGGCACAGGAGGTGCCCCGGCTCCCAGAGAACCCTACTGTGTTATGTGAAGCAAGCTGGTAGACAGACAGGCAGGGAGATCATGGCTACCGTGATGGAGCCAGCAGTAAGGGAAGGGTGGGCCCCATACAGGAGCCTTTCTTTCTGAGCTCCAGCCCTAGCCCCTCGAACCACCCAGAATCTAGGCATCTTTGCCGACACCTCCCCAGGGTTGGAGACTGGGGTGGGGGACTAGAAAAGAGGCATTTCTAATTCTGTGGGGCCTGTCTCCGCTGTCTCCTTCTCCACTTCTACAATCTCTCTCATTTCCTCTCTCTCTCTCTCTCTCTCTCTCTCTCTTTCTCTCTCTTCCTTTCTCTCTCAGAAGTGACAATTCAGAAAAAGAAATTAAGACTGAAAATGCAGGTTTTTCTACTAACAGCTGAGGAGACGGGCTTTCTTGCTTTAATGTCTCTCCTTCTGACATTGTCCAGAAGGGGGAAATTTGTTCTGTAAAATAGACTTCCAGAGCTCTTATTGCCCCCTCTGCTCCCATGCACCCTCCCCTTCCGAGTCCTTTAGCAAGGGCTGGATGTTGAGGGAGAAATTCATCTGCTGACAACAGGGACCAAAGAGGGTGCTGGGTCCCCCGGGAGCAGAGACGTTTAATTGCTATGTTGTGTGCGATGTTGTTTTAAGCTAACCCTGGTCCCAAGCCTGGTTTCCTCTCCCTCCCCACCATGTCCAGACCTCCCAAGTGTTTCTTGAGCATCTGTTCAAGAAGCCAGGAGGGGAGGGAGAAGGACCTCTGGGATGGGTCCATGCTAGGTGAAGAACGGGATGCGAGCTGCACGCCTCGAGCTGAAGAGACCCGAGCTTGGCTGCATTCTTTCGAGCTGCCTCCTGGATCCCCAGTCCCCAACTCTTCTTCCTGAGGATGGAAATCCACTCCAGCCTCGCTAGGGTTGATGTGGGTGCCATATAGGCAGGTGCATTCCCCCAGGGGAAGTGTAGGAAGAGAGCAAAACTCCCCAGAGTAACTGGATCCCAGTGCCTGGGTCAGAGCAGAACTCAGCCCCAGAATTGTCTCCTGGGTTCACACTATTCTCCTGAGGATGAAAAGTTGGGGGATGACATAAGCTCCAAGGCACTGTGGACTTGAGTCCATTCCTATCTGACCTCGTTTGGTCCCCTTCAAGCCTCGGGGGTCTGTCTCAAGCCCCTCTTGGTAGCCCTAGGCCTTCTGGGCCCTCAGCCCCCAACTTCCTTTCCCAGCCAGCCCTTCTCCCTCTTCTTCCCTCCACCCAAAATGGAGCAGACTGCAGCCAGATTCTCCAGGTGGGAGAGCCCAAGCCTCCCTCCCAGGGCAGAGTCCACTCTGGGCTCACATCACTGCCAGTTCTTATGGACTGGTGAGCCAAGCTGGCATTCCTTTGCCTGGCCTTGCCCAGATTCTTTGTCCCCCCTGCCCATTTCCTGGGGGAGGGGGAGATCTGTATTTATCTATCCTCCTTTCCCTTCCTGATAGAAGCTGTTGTCCTAAGCTCTTTTCCTACCCCCAAGACAGCCCCAGAATTGGGGAAGACTTGACCCAAGAGGAATGGGGAGGGCACTCTAGGCAGGAGAGACATTAATGAGCCTGGCTGTGGAGTGGCCCTGGAAAGGCAGGCCAGAGTGGCTGAGAGGCTGGGGTGGAGGGTACCTGTTCTCTCAGTGATAGTGATGGGGGTGCCTTTCCCAGGGAGTGGGGTCGGGGGGAACCACAGGGGTGGGAGTAGGTAGGGTACATTCTGGAGGGTTTTCCTCCATTTCTTTTTTCTATCTGCCTGGATTCACCATTGGATTTTGTAAATGGAAAACTGAAAAGAACAATGCTATATTGGATGTCTTCTCTTTCTGACTCTGTGTGTGTGTGTGTCCTGTCTGCATGACCACATGTGGGGAGGTATGGTCAAGTGGGACTGTGTCTGTGTGACTTTGTGTGGATAGGCACCACTGCCTGGTGCACACATGTGAGCAAATGCCTGTATGTGGGGACATATGGCACACACACACACACGTACATGTACGCACCTAATTGAAAGGAGACAAACTAGAGTATGTGCCTGCAGTAGGAAGTAGAGTGGTAGGAGAATAGAATTTTAGAACCATACATATGTATGCAGCAAGAGGGTAGACTCCCATCTTGTAAAATCTTACTCCTTTGACCCAGGCTCTGAACATGGGGGACAGGATACTTGAGAACCCTATATCTTCCCATATCCTGGAGCGCCCTGGGTTCCATCCAACTCCTGTGTCAGTCTCCTCCCCAAAACGCAAACAAGGTGTTCCTGAAAGTGGACCACTTTGGAGACTAGGGACTGGGAATTGGGGATCAAACTTGAATGGGGGAAATAACGGGGTTAGAAAATGTTCCCTACAAGTAATGGCTTTTGGAGGGACTGCTCAGTCTGGGATGGGAGCCCTTCTGAAGTGTCCACTGTATACATCTGGGACTTTGGTAAGCTTTGACTAAATTTAGAGGAGGGATGTTATGGGGGGCGGGAGGGGAAGCCAAGCCTGGGAGTCTATCCAGCTAGCCTGCTCCCTGGGCACTCACTTTACCGTTTATTTACTTATTCTCTCAGGTGCACAGAATTGAGTTGACCATAATCCTCAGTTCTTGGCACACTACATCATCGTTGGTCCATGCGAGTCCCTTTTCTTCTTTGTTTTGTTTTGTTTCTTCCCCTTCATCACCCATCCCTGATCCAATACCCCCTCCCATATAGGCACCCACTCTTGTGTATTTAATGTATGTCCTTCCAATTCACCGTTCATGTGTTTATTTACATATATGTGTATCTGTGAAAAATATATGGTATTGTTATGTGTTTTAATTTACATAAACAGTATTGTACTATAAATCTTGTTCTGTTTCTTTTTTCACTAAACATTCTGTTTTTGAGAGATCCAGCCTTGTTGCTGTACGTAGATCTAATTCATTCTAGTGGTCCATCTTCTACATCTATCACATGTTTCTTCTCCATACCCTTGGTGATGGGTCTCTAGGTCGCCTCCAATTTTCTGCTACCACAGAAAGGCTGCAATGGGCAGTTTCCTACATGTCTTAAGGATGCCTAATTTAGAGGAGAGGAAACTGTCTCTGAGGACACTCCCTCAGAGAGAGGGAGTGATTTGGTTAGGGTTACAAAGTGAGGAGCACACCCGTGATGTGAATCCCAGACCAAATCCAGAACCCCACCACCACGCCAAAGGAAAGACCATCAATCTGGCCCTCCAAAATCTAAAATACAATTAAAAGCGGCATACACTGAGGAAAGGATTGGAAGGAGGGCAAGTATCAAGTGGACGAAGAGAGAGAAAATCCTAGAAAAATCTGGTGGATGAACGGAATCATAATCATTTTAATGACGCAGACGAAGTTACTTTTTGTGTGTGATTATTTCTAGAGCCATTTTGCAGAGAGGCAAAAAGCCACGTCAAAAATCTGGCTCCAGGGGCGCCTGGGTGGCTCAGTGGGTTAAAGCCTCTGCCTTCGGCTCAGGTCATGATCCCAGAGTCCTAGGATCGAGCCCCGCATCGGGCTCTCTGCTCAGCGGGGAGCCTGCTTCCTCCTCTCTCTCTGCCTGTCTCTCTACCTACTTGTGATCTCTATCTGTCAAATGAATAAATAAAAAAATCTTTAAAAAAAAATCTGGCTCCAAACCAAAGGTCCTAGGTTTCTAAATTCCAGGCTCCTTTAGGGCAACCCTAGCCCCGGGGCCACATTTCAGATCTCCACAGAGGCAAACGCCGGGAATAGAGAAAGATAGGGACAGATTTAAGAAGTGCGTAGTTGTTGAGGGGAGGGCAGAGAAGGGGGAAAACGATAGCGAGGCTCTCCCAATTTTATTTGAGCACATCCTGCTCCGAAGCTGCGTTTGTTTTTTGTTTTGTTTTTTGGTCTTCAGAGCCACTGGTACTTTTCCCATTGGATAAAACGCTGCAAGGGTGGGAGAGGGGTTTATTCCCCCTTAGTTTTCCTTGCAGCCAATCGCCATGCAGTTTCCAACTCGTCGCTGGGGGAGTCAGCCCGATGATTGGCGGGCCCAAGAGGAGCCAATTGGAAAGCGATGAGGTGCGGTGTTGGCAAGCAGATTGCGTGAGAGCGGGCAGAGGTCGAGGGAGAGCGAGAGCCTCGGCGGGGGCTGGCAGCCAATAGAGAGACAGAACGGGCCCTTTACGTCAAGAAGGAGGTGGGTCTTGGACACTTGGCGCGGAGGGAGTAGGACAGGCGCTGTGGGAGGGAACGCCAGAGCGAGGCTGTGAGGAGAGGTGGTGGCGTGAGGTGCTGCGGCTCAGCTTCAGGTGTGACAGGCAGCGGCGGCCTGGCTGAGAGCGAAGGGGCGAGTGCGATCCCCTGAGCTGTGAGCGCGGTCACCATGGACCGCCAAGATGAGGGGCCTCCGGCCAAGGCCCGCCGCCTGAGTAGCTCAGAGCCCTCTCAGCACGACCAGCTGCCGCCGCCGCCGCCGCCGCCGCCGCTCCTGCGACTGCCCCTACCTCCACCCGAGCAGCGGCCGAGGCTCCGGGAGGAAACCGAGGCGGCACAGGTGCTGGCTGACATGAGGGGGGTGGGACTGGGCCCCGATCTGCCCCCGCCGCCGCCCTATGTCATTCTGGAGGAGGGGGGAATCCGTGCGTACTTCACCCTGGGTGCTGGGAGTCCCAGCTGGGAGCCTGCGATGGAGTCGGGGTACGGGGGGGAGCCCCCTCCTACGGAGAGCCTAGAAATATTCTCTCCTTCGGAGGCTTCTGGGGGAAGTGTGGAAATTGACTTTCAGGTTATGGAGCCCAGCAGTTTTGCTGGAGAGAAGGCCCTAGAAACCTGTAGCGCAGGGGAGTGGGGGTACCAGGAGTTAGCCGGTCCGAGGGGGAAGGAAGAAGCTATCATCATCGTGGAAGATGACGACGAGGATGAAAAGGAGAGTGTGAGGAAGAGGAGGAGGAGGAGGAAGAGGAAGCAGAGGAAGGTGAAGAAGGATAGCAAGGAGAGGAATGCGGAGAGGATAGAGTGCATCCTGCAGGCACTGGAAAACATTCAGCTGGACCTGGAGGCGGTGAACATCAAGGCAGGCAAGGCCTTCCTCCGTCTGAAACGCAAGTTCATTCAGATGCGAAGACCCTTCCTGGAGCGTAGAGACCTCATCATCCAGCATATTCCAGGCTTCTGGGTCAAAGCAGTATCCTTGTCATCTATATTCATGGGCCAGGAGCCCATGACAAAAAGGGGGGGTTGGGGGGAGAGAAAGGGTGTGGGGGTGGACCCCTATTGGAAAAATAACTAGGTTTGGTGGAGGAGGAATGGAAGGAGAGGGGCAAAACATCAGAGAAGCTGGACTAGAGATGGTAAAGGGGGTAGAGGGGCACACAGCATAAAACCTGGACCACAAATGGAAAACAGGAGAGGAGGAACGTAATATTAAAAAAAAAAATGCATCACAGGCAGTGAAATGGCTAGGGTAAGAGAGGGGTACACAGCAGAAAAATTAGACCAGAGGTGGTGAAAGGAGGAGGGGAGGGACACACAGAAGATGAACTGATTCAGAAATGATGAAGAGGGAGGGGAAGGGCACATAGCAAAGAAATTGCCCAGAAGTCACACCTAGCTCTGCAAGGCTAGATCTCTGCTTAGGTACTAGGGAGACCCCAATCCTGGCTGGAGAGAAGGGGACTAGAAAGGGGCTGGAGCCCCTTAAGGGGCAGGCAAAGGAGTATCAAATAGTGGAGATCAAGGAGTTAAATGAAGGAAATAAGAGAGTAAGAAGAATCTTTTTCGCTACTGGTGAAAAGCTTATCTCTGGGGCATATACAGACATACATACAACATGTTAGGAACACATGGGCTTAACTTCCTGGTGGAATTACATTGATATAGACCCTTGGCTCTCTCCTACAAAGTATCACATGATCACAGGCTGTTAGCACTCAGGCACACACATATTTTGTGGCCGTGGGTCCTTGGCATGCAGACACAGAGCATCATGTGACTATTGGTCCTCAGCACCCAGACACACAGCATCACTTGGACACAAACCCTCACAGCCAGATCCACAATATCACGTGGACACAGACACCTAAATGAACATCATGTGACTCCAGGCCCTCAGCAACCAGTTACAGCATCACTTGGGCATGGGCCTTTAGCCCGCAGAAACACAATGTCTTCTGAATACAAACACCCAGACACACAGCAAATACGAACCGAGGCAAGGCAACCTAACACAGAGGTTTGACATTGCATAAACACAGGCTCACTGCATAGTATCATGGGAAGAAAAGTGTGGGTCACTTGCTCCACACACATCACATAAACATAGAGGGAATTCTGCTCCAGCCTCTCTGTTGCTCTGCCCTGCCTGGCCTTCCCTCCCTCCTTCTCTCATTGAACAGTCACTCCTTGACCTAAACTGCTCCCTCCATCAGTTCCTCAACCACCCCAAAATTTCAATCTTGATCAACCGACGTGATGAAGACATCTTCCGCTACTTGACCAATCTGCAGGTCAGGCCAAAGATAAATTTTTTTTACCAGGATCGGGCAAGGAATCTGGCCCTTGGAGGTGAGGGGGGGTGGGGTGGGAGGGGCCTTGG